GACGGGGGGAGGCGGCAGCCACAGCCTCTGAAATGCCCCGACTGGCAGTGATGAACCCATAGATGGGCAAGAACCTCCATGCTCGGGAAATAAGTGATTCGCTGTTAACTTTTTCTTAGTGCACTCATCGACCCTTTCTTTCAGAGCAGCTGTTTTATTCAAGTTCCCCTCAAAAGCGAGGGGATTTGATAACCTCGTTCTCTGATACACCTTCTAAAATTATAAAGTAAGGATCAGGCATTCCTCTTCTCTCCTGAAACACTCATCTCTCTCAACTCCATCACTGCCAGTGGTAACTACACGGTGTATTCTTAATTTATGCTCAGCTGCTCCTACTTAGAAAGGAGCTGGAAATACCTCTACACTCAGATGTCTGTCTTTGTGATAAACTGGGGACGAGTGGAAGAAATATGGAAGATTTCTTTTGCTCTAGGGGACATTGTGTTTGGCTGCTGTTCTGCCTGGCCCTGCTTGCTTGGTTTTAAGCACAGAAACTTAAATGCAATTTGTTCACCTCTAGAGTTTTCCTGACAGTTCAAGAGTTCAAATTCAGGTATGACCCCTATAGCACATTGGTCCCTACAGCCATCTTTGAGTTGTGATGCAGACCAGGATGAACTGAACTGAGCCCAGACTGTTTCACATAGCCAGTGATTTCTCTTCTACTAATAAAAAATTAGGGTCTGTACTATTATTCTAATTTTGACCCATTTGTGGAAAAAATTTGAATTCACATTCTCCGTGTTAGGCAAAAATATTTTTTTTGTTTAGTTTTTCTTTTATTATTCTGAATGCCATTTGCAAATTAAGACTTAGCCCAAAACATGCAACCTTTGTTATTTATTTTCAGGATGCTATCTCTAGTATAGTATACAGACATTTGAAATGTTTGTAAAACTCCAAATGGAATGGAAATGCTGCAGCATTGAATAAAACCAGTATGAAAGCTGTGGTGACAGGAGGTGGTGGCTACTTTGGATACAAGCTGGGATGTGCTCTTGCCAGCAAAGGAGCTTCTGTTGTTCTCTATGACATGAACGAGCCTATTTGGGAAATTCCCAGTGGAGTGGCGTGTATCCAGGTATGATCAATTGTATTTTCCCAGCAGTCAAAATTAGTTCATTTGCCTTTTCCATAACATTTTACTAGTTTTCAGAGAATCCAAATAGCTAATTGCAAATTATTTCAAATTCCAATAACCTTTTTGACTGTGTGAACATCCCACAGGAATTTTGGTGAAGGGATTTTAGTTTATCTGAAATATGGAAAGCAGTGAAACCTGTAACGTGGAGCACAGAGCAGTTCTGCTCCTGCCTCCTCAGGACCCTGCCCTCACGTGTGCCTTAGTATAATCCCCTGTAGAAAAAATACAGGAGTATTATGAAGCTTAATGAATGTCTTTAAAGCCCTTTGGGTTCTGTGAAAGAAAGGTATGATTGTCAGCAACCACTGGGGTGGACCCAGGATGTACAGCCCATACAGCCCATACAATTCTAAATATGCATTATATATATGGATTCCCTCTGTGCTAACCCACTGTATGACAAATGCTCACCTGAAGCTTTGATTTCAAGTCCAAATATGTTTTCTTATGTATTACAGGCAGACCTCAGGAATTACTGTGCCATACTTGGAGCCTGTGAACAGGCTGACGTTGTGTTTCATGTAGCTTCATATGGAATGTCAGGAAAAGAGCAAGTGAGTCCAAACAGTTCTGTTTTTTTTTCTGTGTGACTGCCCACAATGAGAATGAGAGACTTGATGCTGTAGCACAGCATGGTAGATTTTACCTGTTCCCATTGCCCTGGTGTTCTGGTAAATTGTTCTGTGCAAACTGGAGTGCCCCCTGCAAAAAGGCTGCTTGCAGAATGATTTCCTCTCCATCAGAGGCTCCACCAGCAGCCTGGGAGGGTGTTTGAGATGGAAATGGCATTGAAGAGTTCTGAAACAGCATAAAGACAAAAGGAAAGACAAGAGAGGCTGGTTCCCTCCAACCCCCTGATCCTTCCCTAAACCTTCACAAGGAACTCCTTGGTGTAAGGTCACTGTGAGGAATAAAAACTGCACTAAATTATAAATTATGTATCTAAATTATAAGGACCACTGTATTTCAAGTCAAGGCAAAAAGCTGTAAGGATGTACTCTGAGTCACAGTTTTTATGATTAGGGTTACACACATCCCCCTTTCTTACCTTATTTAATAAAAGGAACTTCAGTAATTACCCTGTCCGGATAGAACAGCTCACTCAGAGCTGTTTGCCACTGAGCAATGCATAATGGGAATTGCTCTGGGCAGAGGCCACTCATCACTGAAGTGCTAATGAAACACAGATATTTAACATTCTAATACCAGGACATGTTTCTTGGAAGCACTGTGATTCTCTTTGCTTCAAGCAGACTAGTCTGCAAAAATACAAGAAAAATACAGGCATAGCTTAAAAATAATGATTTGACTACTTGAAGTCAGAAACAACAGTCTAAAAGATCTTTTTTATAATCAAAGCACTAAATTAATTACCTTTATTTGAGGACATTATCCTCCATATTGAATTTGCTATGTATTCAAAAATGCACAATTTCTTTCTTTTCCTAGTGGCAGAAAGAACAGATTGAAAGCATAAACATCAATGGAACAAGATACATCATTGATGGTATGTATCTAACTGTGCCATTGGGTGTTAGTAGAGCACATCAAGTATCATATACCATTTAGAGAAAGCCAGCTGGTGTTTTTGGCACACACTATTTGTTACCAAATGCTTTACATTGTTGGCAGAAGATGAGGAAACGTGTCATTGCTTTTTATGCTCCATTCTATGACAGGCTGTGATGTGTCAGACTGGGATGTGCCACAGAGTGAAGCACTTGGTTCCACACTGATGCCTTCCCTTTAAATATGCTTTGCATTTCAACTCACCAACCATAGAATGGAAGGATTTCCCCTTTTAAGATTTGACAGTTTCTAAGAATAAGGTTATACAAACTTTTTTTTCCACATTGTTTCATTTTCCATAAAGTAATTGACTTTGTATGTTCCTGCAGCTTGCAAAGAGCACAACATCTCTCGGCTGATCTACACCAGTACAGTGAATGTGGTGTTTGGAGGGCTTCCCATTGAAGATGGGGATGAGGAATCTGTGCCATATTTTCCACTTGACAAGGTATTTTGTTTGTACATATTTTCAAGTTTCCTCTTCGTTTATTTTCTTGTTTCTGGAAAAGCCTGGAGCTTTTATGACAATGTTTTACCTGATGCCAGAATCCAGGCACAAGAGAGGCCAGGTTGGATGAGAGTTTGAGCAACCTGATCTAGTGGAAGGTGTCCCTGCCCATGGCAAGGGGGTTGGAATGAGGTGATCTCTGAGGTCCCTTCCAACCCAAACCATTCTGTGATTCAGTGAAAGAAGAAAGAAAACTACTTTTTGAAAATGCTATTCACAGCCTTGACACATCACTTTTATGTACATTGCAGTATATATTTCTCTGTTTCCTATTAAGGCCTTGATTTTGGCAAATAACTCATACAGTGTCCCATTAACATCAAGGAAATTCCACCTGGACATAAGGACTGTGTTCTATGGCTTGGTGTCTCTCTAGCTATTTATTATCTACATGATTTTTCTGTTTCTCCCTTACTGAAGATGACATATATTCAATGTAGAGCTGATCTGGAAAAGCAGCCTATTTTTATGTGGTTTTATTGCATTTAATTAAAAAGGAGAAAGTACTTCTGGGTGCTTTGCCTACACAGTTGTTTTTTGTGTCCCTCCTCTCTCCATCTAGTACTTCACAATCTTTCAAGAAGTAGGGATGGAGAGAAAATACTGATTCATATTTTTAATAATATTTCAAATCTTTTCTCTGGGACAGTGCCACACAAAAGTGAACAGGATACTTCAGAGGTAACCTCTTCAAAACTTGGCTTTTGACTTTTCCATTACCTGAAGAAGAAATCCAGATTACAAAGTAGTGATCAGTGACGTTCCTGGCAGCATTCAAAGTATACACATATTTATTGCTTCTCAAATGTGCTGAAATTAATTAACCAGATTTGCATAAACAAAAATGCCTCCTTACAATGTGCACGTGTTTTACCCTAAACCTAATACCCCAGGTATTAGATACTTGTATTTTTGTATTTTGAGGTATTTGTTGCCATTTGCTAAGTAAAAGCTAATGGAGAAGAGATGCCCCTCTGCCCTGTCATTCCAAGAACAGATAAAAATGTATTTGCTTTTTCTCTGTAGCACGTTGATCATTATTCCAGAACCAAATCCATTGCAGAACAAATGGTACTGGCAGCTAACGGGACTCCACTAGCAGGTACTTTTGTCTGAGCATTAATTCATAGCAGAATTTACTCCTCCTCTTCTTGTTCACCCCCAACATCCTGTCTCCTGTATCAATCCTTCCTTAATTATGAAATTAAGTTATCAACCCCCTCTCACAAACTAAAGTATTTTCACTTAAAAATTACTTTTAATTGTTTTTAAGTTCCTGCAATGTCCACAAAAGGTTTTAGCATGGTAGCAATGAGCTCAGTGTGTTAATGGAAAATATTAAGACAGCTAAATTAAACAAAATCAATTGTTTATTGTCACTGTTTTATGCAACAGAAGTAAAACATGAATGCTGATTAAATTGTTACACTCTCCATGCACCCTCAAGTTATATATTAAAATCTGAAGTAGCCACCTGATACTACAGCCTGGAATTATTTATTAGTGCTTCCCAAAGTTTTCCATGTTGAGGAAGCCAGTTATACACTTGAGTACTTAAGCTCACCTGTGAGATACTATAACTGCCAGTGCAAAACAAATTAATGTAAAGTGCAACATGATTCTATGTGACCAAGTGATACTGAGCTAAATTTAGCTGTAGACAACTTACAGAAAAAGACTCACTTGATACTTGCAGAGGGCTATAAGAGATAGAAAGTCACTGATGGACATTTCATCCCAAGAGAATTATTTTGTTTAAAAGAATAAAGGTTTGGGGTTTTTTTTCCTCATTTCTTTGGCAGCTCTTTGCATCAAAGCCCCTCTTAATTTTAGGACCAATACACAGTTCTGCATTTGTCAAGGAAATTAGAACCACTCGGTGTTCCAAACATCCCATTTTGATCCTGTGCCATAGCAGGACTGAGTATTTTACATGTTTTCAAGTACTGTTCAGAGCAGTTATTAGCAGATGACTAACCAGCCAACTTGGGAAGTGATTGGATTTTATGATCCCACTGGAATTGTCAAGTGTCTCCAGCAGCTCTAGTGGGAGCTGTGCCTGCTGTTGAGGGAACCTTCCAGCTCTACCTTGTACTGATAGGGAGTCACTGCTTCCCAGCAATAATTTTGGGTGAGCTCAGTTGGTTTTGTTTCGCTTTCCAAAATATTTTTGAATAACCTGCTCACTTCACCAACCTCATCACCACAGCTGGCACATTCATTCACTGCTCTGGCACAGAGACAAGGGACTGGTTAGAAAGAGGTTTTGAAATATCTAGTATTTTCTGGTAACACAACTATGCTGGCAGGACCTCTCTGAATATTACTTTGCTATTTCACATGTTCTGATTCTCCCAAATTAATATCTGACTACTAATACAGCACCTTTTCAAGACAGCAAAATTAATTTATTTCAGAGTAAGTTCTGTTACCACAGCCTTTGGTTCATACATACAAAGATACAACATAGTCATGTGAGGGTCACTAAAGAATGCTCTTATCAAATCTTGCAGGAGGTGGAATACTCCATACGTGTGTTATTCGCCCCCCAGGAATCTATGGACCAGAAGAGCAAAGACACTTGCCAAGGCTGGCAGTATGTGATTTTCATTTTCTAACCAGTAGAATTTTCTAAGATACAGGTAGAAAGCTGTAAGGAGCATTACTTACTTTGTAGTATAAATTGACTGACCTTACTGGGCAGCAATTCAACAGTTCAGTTGTCTGCTGGGTACATTATAACCTTCTTTAAACAGGCATTTCATTACATCTGTAAAGGGTGTACCTTAAAAAAGCCTTTTCTTGAAATACAAGCACATAAAAATCCAGCTTTATAATTTAACAATTACTGTAAGATTCAGGCCAATCCCTGATATTTCAAATGTCTGTTTACATGCAACTTACACCAAATGCTTTAAAATATTAATGAAAAGAGATACAGCAAAATATCTTATTTCCAGTCTCAACTATGAACAGCTTTCACAGTTAGGGAGCTGGAAACACTTTCTGGTACAAGAGGTTACTGAAAGGCAATGTTTTTAGAGCTCTTTGTACTCCTCTTGTTTCTTTTTAATTGATTACAGAATTTTTATTTTTTTGTTAAGTAGAGATAAACCTACACTTTGCTGGACAAGGAAGTGCACTGTACCTCATTTAAAAACACCTTTTGCTCTGGTTTCATGTTTGTTTGTGTCTACAGAAGCTAATTCAGAGAGGGCTACTTAGCTTCAAGTTTGGGGACCCTTCTGCTAAAGTGAACTGGGTGCATGTAGAGAATCTTGCCCAAGCTCACATTCTAGCTGCTGAAGCTCTCACCCCCGAGAAGAACTACATAGCTGTAAGTACACAATAAAAGCACCACAGTTTCCATTTGACAGTGGACCCTGTGCTATAGTAACTCCTGTAGTAGCAGTAATTAGTGTTACTGTCCTTCAGCTTATGTTGTTGTGTTTGTGTGCTGTGAACAGTGTGGGACTGGGCAGCACTGGCTGTGCAGCGTGTTAGGAGTTGGAATATTCAGTTCTGTAAGAATATCTCTATCTTTGCATTGGTTTAATATAATATTTGCCATTTCTGGAAGGTAAGCAAAGAATTGTCAGATATGACAGTGGAAGTTCAGGCAGATCTACCCCCCTGCCCCTCCCCTGTATACAGGTCCAGGTTTAATGTTCTGAACTGTGATGATCAGTTCTTCCCATACCATAGCCAACAGAAGCACATTTCATTTGGATTCATTGCTTTCAAAAACAGTTGCAACTGTTTTCTTCCTTGTAAATACAGGTTTTTATTCATGTAGAAGCACTGCCTTTAAAGTCTATTAGAACGAGTTTCAGAGTAGATTTAACTACTATTTCTAAAACCCTAAAAGCAAAAGGGAGAGAGGGAACTTAGCCCTTGGTTTACACAGATGGAGTCTTACAGATCCCAGTGAATCTCAACTAGACCCAGAGCAGAGCATGTCCCACCCTTTGCTGGGTACCTGTCAGCAGCACCAGTGAGATGCAGCACCACCTTCAGTGGTGTCTCTGTACAGCCAGTGCAGCCACTCTGAACAGGCACATCTGCAATAAATCATTTATTCCAGGGCATGTTAATCACACAAACCACCTGTCCACCAATTTCACTGCACTCAACAGTGCAAGTGATTGAAACACAGGTGGACAGCTTGTGACTCGCACATCCACACATGTTATAGTGCTGGGTTATTTTGAAGCTATTCATAAGGAGTGAGATAAAGAAAAAGAAGTCAATATATATGCAGTATTATTTTTACTAACTTGTCTCTTCTCTACTTCTTTAACAGAGTGGCCAGGTGTATTTCATTAATGATGGCGAAAAATACAACATTTTTGAATGGTTAACTCCACTTGTAGGTGCCATATATACTCATCTCCAAATACATTAATTGCTTTAACTGTGTGCAACTCCAGCCTTTGTGTGCATGTTAAATTCTGTATGTTTGCTTTGGGAACTCTCTGAATGTGGGTTTAATTCCTGCTTGAATCTCAGTGTGATCAGCACTGTAACAAAGCCCACCTAAAATACTGCATTAAAGGAGCAAAGGACCATCTACATCAGTGTCCTGTTCTGAGCTGCTATTCCCTTCATTTTTGGGCCATGTAGCTGTGAATGGTGGTTACTTTGGGTGGATGAAAAATATAAATCTTAAGTATTAATCTGTAATATACATTCTTTTCAAAGTACCATTTAATTTTTAATTATAGACTAAAAACCATAAATATGTCACAGTGTTAAATTAGGTATCAGCACACCATGACATTTCAATCAATTTTTGTAAATTTTTTCCCTTTTTTTAAGACTGATACTTGAAAATTACATAGTGTCTGCATATGACATTTAACTGGAATCCCCTTAAAAATGAAAAATAGTAACAGCAATAATTATTTTTTCTGTTTTATCAGTAAATATTTCCACAAATATCTTCTATAATGAAAACTTAAAATTTGTTTGAAGTTTCTGGGTTTTCCACTGTTTTTTTTATTCTCTTTCAGTTTGAAAGATTAGGTCGCTGGAAGCCATGGATACGTATTCCTACTTGCTTGGTTTATGCATCAGGTAAAATATTTTATCAACATTTCTCTTTCCTGTTCCGTGCTACCCTCATTCCTAACTGTAATATAATGTTGGGTTTTTTAATTTGCCCACAGTTTCCATTTTCATGTATAAAACCAATATGCTGTGGGCTCATCTAGTGTGCAGCAGTGTGAAGTTCAGCTCTGCACAGCATGTTGAAACTAGACTGATCTCTTATTGAAGTCCCAGAAAAACAGGTTTTATGTAGTATTTAACAGATGTGTAACTTTGTGGAGTTAATGGTGTAAGTATTAAAAGTTAAATGTGAAAACCCATGACTTCCTGAAATATGCTGAAGAGTATCTGCTTTGCTGCACGTGTGAATGTCTCCATAATCAATCCCCATGTGCAGCTCAGACAGAATCCCACTGAGTTCTCTGTTGTTGCCACATTTTTTGTAAAGTCTCATGACCTTTTCATTTGACCTGTGCCCAACCCTCCCAACCCTCTTCCCACAAGGACAATAATTAAGATTAAATCCAGCCTCTTGTGAGCAAGTAGTCTGGTGATGTTAGTGATGGTGCCCTGAGGTCTGTGCTGATCCTTCAGGAGTATTTACAATGTGAGATATGCCACAGTCATCATGGCAAAGCAAGTCACTGCTCTTACCTCAAGTAGAAATCTTTTGTTATGCAGCCATGGCAATGGAATACCTTTATCTGACGCTGAAACCAATTGTTGAACTGTCCCCAGTGCTGACCAGAAATGAGGTAAAGTCTGTTTGTAAACTTCCCTTAATTCCCATGGGTTTAAAATATGTTAATAATGAGGTACACTTTAAGTCAGTAGAAAGTAAAATCCACCCAGTGCTACTTCACTTTCCACTTTCCAGAGCAAATCCATGTACAATTTAGGGACTGCATTATGCTTATTGCCCTGATTTTGGAAAAGGTAAAAGCTTATGCTTGCAATGGGGGAGAGGCTGCTTCAGCTCCTCCCTGCCACGGGCCAGTATCCTGCATGGCTTTGGCTGGGCCCTTGGAGGCTGAGACATGGCTTTGATCTGCCTTCTTGGGTACATAAACAAGACAACATTTGCAGAACATTTTTTTTTTCCAAGTTTTCAAGTCTTATAGATTCTGTTCTGCAGCTTTTACTGCCTGTTTGGGCTTTCTCCTTTTGAGCGAACAGTTTAAAAATAACGTGATGTGTGTCAATAGGACACTGATATAATGTTGGGGGGGTTATTTTACATTTCCTTTAACAGTGTCTTTGCTACCATTTACAGTTTGTTCCAATTGCCTAGGTATTCATACCTCTGTATGCTGACTCTTTTGCCCTGTAGGTACTGAATATTTCTGTGACTCACACATTTAAAATAGACAAGGCACGGGCTCAACTGGGGTACAGGCCAAAGAAGTTTGTGTTTGCTGATTCCGTGGACCACTACATTAAAACCACACCAAGAGGCCGGAACCATCACATCCTCCTCAAAGTTTTGATTCTTTTCATTGTTATTTTCGGTTTTATCTGTCTTTCTGTGGGATGTTATGGCCTTTCCCTTTTGCGTTCTTTTAGAGAAAGGCGACACTGACTTGCCTAAGCTGGACATGCTCAGTCACAGCATTACCACCCAGATCATTCCAATCTCCACTATAGTCACTGGCCCCAGTGCAATAAACAGGCAGCTATTTTTAAATTTGCAGACAGAATCGTAACATATCACTAGCTGCACCTGAGAAATTAAAATACAGTCAACTATTATGGCCAAATCACCCAAACAGACCAGAGTCAGGATTGTTGCCTCTATTTCACATCAAAAAAACAACCTTCTGAATTGATTGCTGAAGTGAATGAGAACCTGCAGAAAGAACAAGAGCTACAGCCAGCTGAAACAAAAAGACTGACCACAGCTTCTGCCATGACTCACTACCACTACCTTGGGGAACAGAGGAACCAAGGAAAGGACAGCCAGAACAGGCTTCTGTGAATAACACACACCAGCTGTAGAGAGACTTCTTGCTGTGCGAATTGGTGAATTAGCTGTTTCAGGGCATCTGAGGGAAAATAAAAGTGTACTTCAAACTTTGCTGAAATGTGTGTTGTGCCTCTGAATGCTGCTCCAGAACTGCTCCCTGCCCTGCCCCAGGTGCAGAGCCATCTGTGACAGCACCTTGCAGTTCACAGGGTTAAGGGTTACATGCTGGTTTTCACAAGTCAAAACTGGGTATTTTAGTTAAATTGGAAGTTACTAACAAAGTTATTTTAGTTAAGTGTATTTATGTCACAGTACAAGAATCTGCCACTATGGGGTGCCCGGATCTTTGCATAGCTTCCTTTACCTCCTGTACCTATTGAAGACAACAACAGAGTTTAGTTGCTTCTCAGCTGAACTTCAGGTGCAAGTGTGTTTTCACATGTAACTTCTGAAGCAGTTGAACTGAGCAAATCCCTACAGCCACTAGAGTGAGCACAGTACTTCTGAATTACTGCTCAGCTAAAATGAAGAGCGTGATCTGAATGGGAGAGCTTGGGAAAAGACTAGGGATGAGATACAGAGGAATCACGGTCTGGGCAGGGGCAATAATCATAGATGGATTTGAGAATTCTAGAGAAGGTGGGAGCGCTGACACCTTCCATCAGTCCAGGGCAGGGAGCAAAGCCCAGGGGCAAGGCCTGCGGGTCGGGGCTGCAGTAATCCAAACACAGCGAGGAAAGGCAGAACCGCCGAAATTAGGATTTCTCGTTTTATTTTAAAGCAAAAGACACGCAAGGAAGACATTCCACTGTTGGCAGTACTCAACACAACACGTATTATTGGGTTTTATGGATTGTGCCCGGCAGCGCCCCGCAGCCCCGTGCCCGGTCCGGCCGTGCCCTGCGGGCCCCGGGCCCCCCCCGCGGCCGCGCTGTGCGAGCGCGCCGAAAGGAGCCGCCGCCTGCGCGGGACAAAACAACGTTGCGCCACCAGGTAGTGGCGCGATTTCGAACCCACGCCATCGAAATGACTGGCAGCCTAAATCCAGCGCCCTTAGAACCACATCGCCTCACGCTCACCGCCTGGGTCTGCTCAGGCCGCCCATTCCCACCAGGCCTCTTTCACCGCGGCCGCCCCGCCGCTCTCCACACCGACCCCCTCTCACGGCCGGCCCACCCGTTGTTCTGCCCCGCCCACCACAGCGCAACCTCGGTGCGCCCGCCCGTGAGCAGGGCGACGCGGCCCACTTGCGCCGCTAGGGCACGGGCTTCGTCGCTCTGCGCATCCGCGTTCCGCCCCCCGCCTGGGCCCGCGTGTTCCACCAACAGGTGGCAGCCGCCGCCGCACGCGTGTCCGCCGCCTGACCCCGCCCACCCGCCGCGCCCCGCGCCTCCCTCCCCGCTCCCTCCCGCGGCGCCCGGCCGCCCCCTCCTCCGCGGGGCCGTCGCCGGCCGCGCCTCGGGGCACTTTGCACGCGCGCAGGCACGGGCCGGCACCCCGCGCCCCCAAGCGCTGCCGTGCGGCCTTTCCCCACAGCGCTTGCAGCAGCGGCGGATCAGCTCCAGCCCGTCCTCGGGAGGGCTTTGCCCGGCGGCGCGGATCTGCGGCCCCAGGGATGGCCTTCCCATGGTCACGTAGGGTCGAGGGCAGCCCTTCGCAGGTGCCAGAGCAGGTCTGCGCACACCTCCCAGCCAGGAAGAGGGTCCGTCCCGCCCCATATCAGCCCCCCCGCCTTCTCTGCCCGCTGCTCTCAGGGAGGCAGTGCCTCCCGCCCACCACAGCACAGGTGCTGCCCACAGGGCTGCCAGCTCAGCTCGCCAGTGACCTTCCCGGCCAGCTGCTCGCTTGGCACCGCTGTGTGTCTTCAGCTGAACCATTCCCACCCAAGACGGTGGGTCCCGGCCGCCTTTATCTTGGTGCTGCTCCACATGCGGCTGCAGAGCTGGTACAAGTGCAGCTGGTGGCCGGGGCTGTCCCTACACAGTCGTGTCCTGCTCTTGGATGCCTCGCTTACCTGCTGCCGCCGAGCTCGGGCACGGGGCGAGCGAGCTTGTCCTGTCCACCTCGATGAGGGAGCTGGGTTTGGCAACCAGAACCAGATTCCGGCTGCCGCTGGTGAGTAGAAGGATGAATTCTCATATTCTGGGAGGCCCGCAGGAGAAATTTGTATAATTACTTGTGGACAGAGCTGAAAACATCAGGGCTAAATGCCATGCAATTAAAAAAATATGAAGAAATTATATCTACTAGAGCCCTTCTCCCCAAAGGAAGTCACGTGCTGGAATTTTTATGCATGTGTATTAGATGCACCTGCCATATGGACATTTATGACCAACTGGATTTACCTTGTAAGACAGGACTGTCACAGGCACAAATTGTCGCAGGATTAACTGATTTACAGTCAATTTTTAAATCTGGCTTTTCAAATGAATGCAGAACAAAATTGCTCTGAAAGTTAGTATAATATATCTGGGGTGTGCTTTCCTTTTTCCTTTCAAAAACTGCTGTTCCCTAGAACAACGATTTCTAAGGGGAACCTCATTTATTGCGGGCATACTGAACTTTACAAGCTACCATGCTCTTGGAAAAAAAAATGCAATGCTGAACATACTGAATGAAAGAACAGCATACTAGACTTGCAGGTCACTAATTTCCTAAGTTGCCATTTCAAATTTAATTTTTAGTATTTTCAAACAAACAAAAAATGAGAATCAAACCCTTTCAATGTTAAGGATATAATAGGTAACATATAACTAGAAAACTAAAACTAGAAGATGCAGCGTGTCTGGGCCGATATCTGATTTCAACATACATCTTTAGTATTTCATCAAACACTTTTTCACCATCACTGATTGTTCTTTTAAGAGAATATTATACAGAATAGAAGAGAAGCCTCAGGCTTAAATCTGAAAGTAAGTACGCCCTTGCATCAGAACTGGCTTATATAAAAACATGAGACGTGTAGCTTGAGAGGGTGTATCCTAACTACGTTCTTAATAGACCAGGACACTCTCCATGAGGATTTATGGCATAATACAGCCACATGCCACTGGGTTCCTTTTGGTCCAAGCAATGCCGAGTGTTTACCTGAGTTTAAAGCCAGCTGCTCTTGTGACTTCAGTTGTGCTCACCTATCACACCAGTAACAGTATTCTGCTGTTATCAGTAGCCTACCATAGCAGGTGGTCATTTTTTAACCATTATCAACACATTTTCATGCAGTGGGAACGAGACATCTGGCCTCCACTAGGCCTTCAGAATTCATTTGATGAGTGTGTGCCCTTCCCAGGCCCTGCCATGAGGCATCCCCGACGCCAGCCCTGCTGGGTGCTACTCTCCCTGGGGCGCTCAGCCAGGCTGCCCACAGAATGAGAAACGGGGAGACACAAGTTCTGGTGCTGATGGGAGCAAACGTGCTCAGTTTTTGATAACTGTTAATATTTACCACCGTGATTCGCAGCTGGGAGATGAATAGGAGGTTTTCCTACACAATCACAAACATTGTAAATGTGTTTGAGCTTAAACTCTGCAGGAATTTGAGGCTGGCCAGAAATGTGCCTGTAGGAAGCAGCATTAGACAGGGGCTTCATGAAATCTCTGCTTTACATTCTCAAAGGAGGGCTGAACCCTCAGCATGGTGCTGGAAATTGCTGACAAAATTAGTTACCCTGAAATCGCACGTGTGCTGCTCCCTCCAGTCTCCAAGCTAAGACACAGTTTAATTTATGTAAGTAATGGTGGTGGCAGGCGGGTGTTCCTGGCAGAAAGACAGAGCATCTGCTCTGTGTGTTTTTAATTAAATATTAGTAATCTTCCTCCTAAGGATTATCTCAGCACTAGCACTGCAGCAGCATTTCTCTGTTGTGTTGCCTCCCTCTTTGCAGAGACCAGGGATTGTGCATTTTTCTGTCTGTGATACCACAAGAGACCATCCATCTGTCATGAAGGACGTACTCCCATCTTCCAGTCTCGGTTCTGTAACCCCTACTCATGGTAAAAACCACTAATGAGAGTTATTTACATGAATAAGAGATTGAACAGCAGTAGAAGAGGCAGACTCTTTGCAGGCTGCCAAGTAATACAATTAAGCCAGAACCTCTTTACATTAATTTCCATGTAACCCATGAAAGGATAAGGAGTTTTGTTTAAATTTTCCACAAATTCTAGCTTGAGGAAAAGCTTAAACATAGGCACTCCCCACCTGGAATGCCAGTGTTTTAGGAAGAATGCAAATGTGGGTGCTTTGAGGAACCTCGGTCTTTGGAACTTGAAATTTGGTGCATAATCCTGCCATTTCTTATGGGGAAACGTGCATTTGTGCCATTTAATTTAGCTGGAAAGGCCAAGCTGAAGTGCATATAGACCCTGCAGTCGCTGCCCAGGTCAGCTCCCTCCGCCTTCCCTCAGGGTGCTGCCGTGCAGTGGGACCCTCCTGCCCCGGAAGACCCGCCGGGCACAGAAAGCGAAGGAAATCTGGACGCCGCTCCTGCGAGCAGCGCTCTGGAGACCCGCACACCCGCTCCCCCTCCTGCCCCCCGGGGTCCTCCATGGCTAACACCTAACGGTGCTAACTGGGGAGGGGGAAGCTCTCCTCAGATTTTCATCGGTTTTCTCATGGGAATAAAGCGTCTGGCCGTGTCCCCCTGTCTCCTCGGTGTCAGGTGGTGTGGCGGGGCCCGCTGAGGAGAGCGGGAGGCGGCGCCTCGTCAGCGCCGTGGGCGGGGGGGCCGTGAGGGGCGGCCTCGCTGCCCGACTCCCGCCTGCTTTCGCGGGGCGGCTCCGCTGTCCGAACTGCCTCCTATTCCCTCAGGGGGGCCCGCCTCCCTCCTACCTTGGCCTGGAGCGGCTTCTCCTCCGTCTTCGCTCCGCGGGGACGGAATGCGGGACCGGGCGCGGCGGCTGCGGGATCGCTCTGCACCGAGCCGGGCTCTTCTGCCCCGGTAGGTGCCGTCGCGGTGCCGGGCCGGGGGGCGGGAGCTGCCTCAGGCTGCTGCGCGGCGTGGAGCGCGGAACGGGCTTTCTAGATTTGTTTGTAAATGTTTCAAAATTTGCAGAACGTGATCGACGGCCGCGGTGGTTTGAGCCTGCAGAAGGCCGGGGCCAAGCCTTTGCGCTGGGCTAAAAATAACCCGATCCGTGTGTGCTGGGCAGCGCTGCTGCGCGTACACCTGGAGTTCAGCGTTTCTTCCGTGCACATAATTTTAATGCATGCGCTGATAAAAGTTCCCAGTGGTGTTTGTGACCGTGGAGCAGCTGGTGTGTGGCCGGGGCTGGGTCCGCCGTGACAGCCCGGAACGGCTCCAGGACTGCTCGTGTTTGGGTAATTTTTCAAGTGCCTCAATACGCGTAAAGCATGAGCTTAATTAAGACCGTGGGATACTGCGCAAATGCTTACAAAAGGTCAGCGATAGGCAGTTTTTCAGTGTATTTAAAGCCAGTTGAAATGACAGGGCTATTAATGTCAATGGAAGGGCATTTTGAAGTTGTGTTGGAAGTTCCTTTTGTGCCCTTTTTCGTCCCCGTGGTTTGGGTACTGTTAACATAGTATTTATTTGTATATTTGGCAGAATGGTGGACTTGGCTCGGAGGGGTCGTTCCTGTGCTTCACTGCTTGTAGCTCTAAAAGCCATTTGTGTTTTTGAAGCCTCACTGTGTTTCCTAGCACAGGGTTTTGGGTCTCAAATGCTTTGTACTCTGAGCTGGTGCAGAGGAACTCACCCATTTGCTCCATGAATTTTGCATCGTTGTTCCCTAACACTCAGGAGGGAACTCATGCAGTCATTATCCCAGCTGTGCTTGCAGGCAAGCTGAGTGTGGTTTGTGCCATGGTGTTTGCAGTAGTGGCACACTGGAAGGGACCTGTAGTAAAGCTTCTCATTAGAAGATCTGTCCTTGATAAGACAAGGTTTTCAAAGGTAGACAATGAGTTGAGACATCTCTGGTTTTTTTTAATCTTGTTTTTTATCAGAGCTCTTATCTAGGCTCACTGAACCTGTTTTCATGCAGTGGTGCAGATGAGAATTGACATTTGCTTTGCAAGGGTCAGTTGGGTGTTTTTAAAGCACAGTAGTTCATAGTGTGCTATAGGACATTAACATAGCTAGTAGGCTTGTTCTGGACTGTGTTAAGTAGCTTTATGTCTGTAGTTCATGAAAGTAATAATAATTTTTAAGGTCTGTATAGTTGCTTAGGTTAAATTTTAAATTATTATCCTAAGAGTGTTAATCTGAAAGGCGATTTCTCTCTTTTAAGAAAAACCTGCTTGTTACTATTACAGGTATCCTCCTAAATGGCTTTAGCTCATGTGGTATTAAATCAAAAGGGATTTAGTATTATACCAGGGAGAGCTGGGTCATCCTTGCTTTAATGCTTCTTTACAAGAGAATCTGGGACTTGTGTTACAGGGCAGTTCCTGCTCCCCTGTTCTGTGCTAAAGAGGTACAGAGGGCCGTGTCTGAGCTGAAACGATGGGTTAGGAATTGCTGGAGATGCTCCAGTTGTCTCTTTTGCCAACTAGAGAGGTCCTATCGCTCACCTCTTTGGGATGAATTAAGGCAGGTTTAGATGCTGAGGCAGCTGGCGGGCCTTGCTAAAGAGTCCCACCAACCCAACAGTGCTTTGTAACAACAGACACCTGCAAGAAATCTGCAAGTGCTGTTTTAACAGCACTGTGATGTGGATTTTCCCCTCTGCTTCTATGTGTTTGCATATTCACCATGCTCAGCAGCACATTGGTTTGGTTTGCAACTCACCTGCCCCTCCTGGTCATGTGGCTCTTGGTTATAAAGGCAAATACTTGAGAAAGAAAAATACTTGAAACACGCATTGGGAAAACACAAAAATTAGTAGAAACTTGAGCAGATTTAGTAAGTGACTGTATTTTAAATTATCTTCATTTTGAATCACATAGTACAAGGCTGATTATAAAATGGAATAAATTTTCAAAGTGGATTGGAGTGGGTAGTTTAAATTACAGGTGTGTGATAATGCAGGCTTGCAGGCTTGGTTCAGTGCAGTCCTAGGAAAGCTCCTGTAATAGATATTAAAGATTAAATTAGCAAAACAAAGCAGCACTAGTAACAGGAATTCATAGATAGCATAACTTTATGCCATAATGCAAAAGCACAGAATATAAGCCTTGGGATGAAGCATAGGCTTTTTTATAAGGCTTTTCATCAAACTATGATGTTTAGAGCAGTGTTTGTGTAGTTTAATGTTTGGTTATTGAATTTGTTTTAAAGAGTGTGTTACGTGAGGCTTGGTTTTAGTACATGCACTTCCAAAGTAAACACCACAAGCACTTTACAAGAAATAGGGTTCCAAGAAAAACGGTGAGGCTTTTACAAACACCATTAGCTTTAAATAGAAACCGATTTGTGTGACAATGTTTGGTTTGCACAGCAAGTCACAGGAACCCCAATGTTTGCACTCACTGCTGCACAAACCTGTATTCCTGTTGCTGCTGCTTTTCAGACCATCGTGGACCCCGTGGATCTGGAGATCCTGTGGCAGCAGGAGCAGGAGTGAGTGCAGGGCAACAGTTACCTGTGTTGCTGGTTATGTGGGAATGTTACCTCCATCAGAAAGGCAGGAACCAACAACATGATGTTGCTGGTGAAAGCTGCCATATGGTACTGTTTCTGTGGTGACCAGTTTCTCAGTAACTGTGGAGTAGGAGCTGTGCATGCTGCTGTAGGATGTATTTATCTGTTTCTTGGAGAAGGAAGGCTGAAGAATAACAGTGAAGCAAAACTGAAAACCTTGTTTTATGGCTGGTTTATTAGGCTAGCTTTGTGAAAATCTCTGATTTTGCTGGTCGAGTGAAGAACTAAGCCAAGTGACAGAAGTATCTGTTTTAAATTACATGCTGTTGCTCAGCCAGCTTCAGGGCCAGATTTTGAAAATTCTCACTAATCCTCTGTTTGGTAGGTGCCAGTGTTTTCAGGGTATCTAGGCAAACTTCCACCTCTTCCAAGGGCTTTGATCATTCCTCCACCTCATTTTCCTGCAATGTGCTGCACTTTCAGCAGTGTGTTTTACTGTGGATTGTTGGCTGTATAGGAGCTAAAAGCCAGCTTAAATCTTGTTGATGGTGGAAAATTTTTTTATGTTGTCCTAATAATGCTGTCTAACTCACTTGACTGTTAATTTGTGTGCAGTATCTTTGAGAAGACTTGTCCTGAAAAAATTTGAAAACCTGAGTGTGGTGTTCAAGGTAAAACCCCTTCAAGTTTCTAAGACTAGTGTTGTGAAACTCAGGAGTTAAAAAAAGGAAGAATAAAAACATTTGAAGGAGGAGATAGGAGCTAGTTTTATTCTGTACTTGATTTTCTTCTTTTCTGATTTCCTGTAGCAGTTTAAAACCAAAAAACCTTCTGGAAACCCAACACTGAGGTGTTCAAAACTACATGGAAGTACTGGGGGATTACTTTTACAGAACCATATGCAAATGTGTTGGGTTTGTTGTTTTGGTTTGGTTTTTTTCTGCCAGTGTGCTGACATCAGTTTTATGCATAATTTATGCTTTTAATAATAATTTTTTTTCTCTTCTCTCCCACCCAGCTTCTTCCCTCCGTTTGCACGTGCTTTGGAATAGTGGGTGTTTCAATCCTTGTAGGAGTTAAACCAACCTCCTGCAAACATGGCAGACGAGGACCTTATTTTTCGTATGGAAGGGATTGATAATGCCAGGACGACCACAGCGAACTCTGGGGGTTATCTTGATGCTGATAGTGATGATGAAGACAATTATTTTATCTGTCCAATAACTGATGATCCGATTTCTGACAAGTCTGCCAGTACCAAAGTAGACAATTATTACAGCAGCTTAGCAAAAAGTGAGCAGTACAGTTCAAGCTCTTCTCCTAGAAGCTTTAGCTTTAAGGTAAGTATTGGCTCCAGCCTTCAGCAAGGTTTTGGTTTTACTTTGTTGGCATGAGACATTCTCTAACTGCTTCACCTCTTGTAACTAACACTTTCCAATAAAAAAACACACTCGTTTTTTTCCAGACCTGCAGTTAATTCCATTAAGCCAATAGTCTGACACTGCCATGGAATTGCTCACTGTCCCTTTTAGTTCATTGACAAAGGTGGCGCGATCCAGGCAAGCGATTCACTGCCCTGCTGATCAAACCTTGACTGAGAGACTCAGAAGATTATACTCTCGTTGTAAGCTAAATTGGGGCCTGTCAGAGGATAATTTATTATGGATTTTGCTAATCCATAATATTTTTAGTTGGGCAAATAAAATTGTAAATGATAAATGGTAAGTTTTTATGTAGTAATTCCTTCTTAGGGAGCTTTAGACATGTTGGCTCTCATGCTTGGGCATCAAGTGTCACACTGGCAGTAGTTCTGACAGTGTACTCGAGCAGTATCTGATCTTTTTGAGATGAGGAGCAGTCATAGCATTGCAGGGAGGTCGAAAGGGCCATAGTTGGTGCTTCCTTGGCAGTGTGTCCTTTTTCACTGGGCTCCCTTGGCACAGGTCAGCCAAGGAAATGGAGCCTCAAGAATGCAAGTGACACTCACTCTGTAGCTTAGATAATCCAAATATACACCATTTGTGGTAAACTGGCATGTCTCTTAGATTTTGCCTAGACTAGGATTTAATGTGTTTTATTAACACGTTTCTAATTGTAAATATTAACATTTATTTAATAGATACTCTAAAATCTCGGTTATGCCTAATGCATGCTTTATTTGTGAAGAGATACTGGGGGTTATTTTAGTCAGATAACATATAAAGTAACACATGGAAAGTGAACCTGGCTTGTCTGCAGTAAGATTTTTACCAAAGGTAGTTAATAAAAACATTAAAAGGTACATAATCCTAAGGAAAGTGAAGAGTAAAAGCTTAGTATAGAAAGGTGACAGATGTTAGTGTATTCTATGCTAAGCAAGTTATGACCTGACAGGGAGCTTAGTCTTCGTTTGTATGTACATTTTAGCACATACTAAATACTTGCCTCTGGGTTTGCAGTGCAAGTTCTGAGTCATATGGCCTGAGATAAAACTGATAAGGACTTCAGAAATTGCAATTATTTCCTCCTTCCTAACCTATCATTTTGTTTCTGCAGAATGTTTGTGGCTATCTTTGGTCTCCACAATGTCTAGTTTGGCACTGTGGCTCCTATCACAGATAAAATGCTTTATGCTGAGATGTGGAGCAAGCAAGTCTCCATCTCCTGCTTAATCTGCAGGAATGGTGACTTCCAACACAGTGAAGCAAACAGCCAGGACTGATAACATCCTAAACCCCACCAGCCTGCTCTGATCACTCTGCCTGTCAGACCCCAAACCTAAAGGCAGTGTGGGCCATTGATAATGAAATGCAGAGACAGAAACAGGACTCAGCAGTGTTTAAGTAGCTAGTTAATAGGCAAGATCCTTTTAATGCATGCTTTCCAGTTTAAAAAATTGCCAACTTACCTCAATAGGTTTGTTCACAGATGTTCTAAGAGTGAACTTAAATTGGGGATATAAACTGAAGAGTGGCTTTTAACTGGAAACGTTTTTTTTTAACTAACAAAGAGAACCAAGACTCTTTGTCAATCATTTGTCTTATCACATGTATTTTCCTGCTTTCATGTCTCTCATGGATCCTTTAGAATGACACACAGCATCGTTCTAAGCATGGCTCTGTGGTTGACCATGGTCGGGTAGGTTAAAAAAGAAATGTGAACACCATATCTAATAGATGAATTATGATTTTTTTTTTTCCTTTTATGGACTTTTTTGTTCATTATATTATTGTCTGGGAGAACTGCTTGCCTCAGCCCATAAAAGTCATTAAGTCAAAACTAAAAAAGATACCTGTTAAATGAAATAATACCCATCTTTTGTTCTCTGCCCTGAAATGTCTCTGTGTGGCAGCCATATGCCTCCAGCAGGAGAAAAATTGCACTGGTAGCACCATTTCCAATTTCTGTTTGTTTGAAGATCAGAATACAGCTTTTGTACAAAGCACCTCATGAGATCATGCACAAGTAATTAACTGATTTAAGTTACTGCCTAGCATGGACACAAATCACTTTTTGGAGCGGGAGTCTACTCAAGAACGATTTGACACTGATGATTCACTGAGCAATTCTATTTGTTGCTGTCTCTCCCTATTTCTGTCATAGGTATTTAAGTGTGGAATTTCTCAGGTCCATGTGAAATGTCTGTTATTGCATGACCTGAGGCAACTTCATTTGCTTATGAAACATAGGAAATCTTTCTCAACATGTCCTTTAAACTTGTTTTATTTATTATAGTATTGTGTTCATTTTATGGTACTCTTATCAGAAAGGGGAGCATTTGAATTGTTTGCAAGGTATGCAAAGTTACAGCTGAAATTCAGAATAAGCATGAACAATTTAAAAACTCAGCTGCTTCAAAAACTTCCTTGATGTCATTGCTGACCCAAATTTATACTGTAGGGTTTTTTTAAATTGGCTGATTTAAATTCCGGAGGGGGGGTGTGGGAATTCCCAAATTTTAAAAGTTACCCTTTTCTGCACACTTGAAATTCAAAGAGACAGTAGCAATACCTCAGGGCCCAGTATTTCTTTACTGATGGGGTGCAGAGTGCTTTTTCTCCTGCTCACCTTGCAGAAGGCATTTGGCACATCACAGGTTTTCTTGGAAAAATACAATGTAAAAAGAGGGAGATCAGAATGTTAAGAGAGAAGCATCCAAATTGACTGGTAGAGGAAGACTCTGGATATTCCAGAAAACTACTTTGATGTTGTACTGTTGACTTGATGAACAATGAAGTAGCTACTTGTCTGGAATTGTTATAATAATAAATTTATACAACATTCTAATTTCTTCTTTCTTATGCTGAGCACAATCTGGGGCCTTGGGGTTCCCAGAACTTTTTTCTTTGTCCATATTAGCTCTGTTGCTAATGGACTTTTTTATGCTTACACAATGCATGCTGTTAGTTACGAAAAGTTAAAAATCAAAACAGTAGAAGTGAATTAATATCATCTGGATGTGCATTATTGCTATTTGCAGTATGTGCTGGAGATATTTGCAAATTACCACAGGTTTGATAAATTATATTTGGTATATACTGTACCAGATTCTGTTCCCAGTAACTTCACAGCAGTGCAAATTGAACTGAAACCTGATGATTTATATCCCTGAACTGTGTTTCATTATAACTGAAACTATAAAAGGTCACAGTGGTCTCTGGTACTGCTTAGTCCCTGCTCTGAGTAGTGCTTTGCACATCTTCCTAGCATGAGGATCCTGATTTGGTCTAGAAAATACTGGTTTTGTGAGCTGCTGGTGATTATAAATAAACTGCCAGTTTGTAACTTCTTCAGGAAACCTGGAAACATGCTATTGAGAAAGCCAAGCACATGCCTGATCCATGGGCAGAATTTCACCTGGAGGATGTTGAGACGGAACATGCCACTCGTTACAGGTCTGTGGGTCTTTGGATGCTGATGTTAAACACAACTGCTGGTTTCTGTGCTTATGTAGTGCAGAATATCTGTAATTACATGGCTGAAAAACTTTCAATAATACCCAAAGTGAGCGTGTCTTAATCTCTCAGGAGTATGTAAATACTGCCCACCAACAGAAAATAAACCTTTCAGCAAACCACTGTCACACTCTTTCTCTCCCACCTAAGTAGTATCTAGGACTTTAACCATGTAGACAGGAAACAAGGCTGAGAAGTATTGTCTAGTTGATTTATTAGTGCTATAAACTTAATCTAATAAGGAAATGAATTCCAATAAAGGGGCAGCATACTTAGTTTAAATAGTTTAGGGGGAAAAAAGCAACATAACACTCCATGCCTTTCCCAAAATAGCAGTTTCAGTGTTACCAGTCCATGCAGTATTGTTGCATGTGGCTGGAATTTAAATCCTTATAAAGCCCAGAATAGCTCAGCATGGTGTACGTGCTGAAACTGAGTTTGGCCATTAAACTGGTTTTAGTGCTTTAACACAAGCTCTGCCAAAATATTTACTCTGCTGACACAGTTTTCTGGGTGGAAGGGGTAGGGGTTAGAGGCCAGTTAATCACCACTTAGCATCAGTGTTGGGGAGGCCTCCCTTCCAATCACATACCACTGTCATGCAGTGCTGCTCTTCCCCACAGACTGCATCTGTCCCTGGTCAGCCACACAGTCCTGAAATAGTTTGCAGATTTTAAAATACAAATAAGTGGTAATACTGGTTTAGGACTACTCAAATACCCTGTTAAAAAGAGGTAGCTCTGATATTTCCACTGCTTTTATCTGCTGCAGACTGGGGTGATACAGTACTCAGTGCAGGATGGGGGAGTCGGGCTGGAAACAATCATGTGTTGGTGACTCAATTGCTGTGGTTCTTCATTTGGCTTTTACTGTGTTGGGAGTTAAGGGGGTGGGAAGAAACCACAGTTGTAGTCTTTGTATTATCACAGGGTTGTGCAGGGACTTGCTCCTCCCTCAGTGCAGTGTTGGGCAGTTCTTGGCCCCCCTGCTTCTCACAGCTTGTTCTGCTCACATCCTCGACAACCCTGAGGGAGACTCTCAGCCAGAACCGGCTTTATGCAAGCTGAGGTTTGGGGAACACAAACTGTCCAGTGGGTAGAGCTTGGTAAGGCTCTTTCTGCCCCCAGTGCGCTGCCCAGGCATCACAGAAGGCTTAACTTCAAAGCAGATCAAGCCTGATTTGTAGTGTTGCAAAAGTATAGCTTCTGCAGTGCAGTCTGTTCACTGTCAGAAGGATTCAGTGTCTTTTCAAAGAGTTAATCGTGTTTCTGCTCTCCTGTCTGAAGCAAGGAGGGCCTGACTGTGGTGGGAAGATTAGAAGCTTTTGTGTTGGAGTGGCAGCAGCACTTTGTGGTGTTCAGTTGCAGATAAGGAAGGATGGATGTTGGGAATGGGAGGATTTGGGGTCCCTCTGCATTTTTCTGAGACACATCTGATTTTGCAGGTACAATGCAGTTACTGGGGACTGGGTTGAAGATGAAGTCCTTATCAAGATGGCTGCACAAGTAAGGTCACACTCTCCTTCATGTTCATTAACAGCAAGTTTGTAATTCTTTTCTGTTCCAGAATAGTGGCAGCAAGATATTTTCCTCATAGAAGTTTTGAAGTCTCAATGTAACTCATTTCTCCCAACTCTCTGTTTCCTTGGCTCATTCATTATGTTGTGGTGTCCCAACAGCCTTTTGTCCCCAGAGTAGAGTAGAAAATGGAGTCATCCCTTCCCTGTCAGCAACGTGAGGCATTTGTTCCATTTCCAGTGATTTCCCTTCCATTTCACCACTCCCATTTCCTGCTGGCATCATTTCCCTGCCTGGCAATAGTCCTACTATTTTATGTGCATCCAAATAATATCTACTCTCAGAATGAAAACCCAGTGAATTTTCTGTATGGGAGGTAGAAGCTGCTGTCACTTCCCAGTTACATCCTGGGGTTGGTTGTGCACTACTGGCATAGTGTCTGACATCTGGGGAGATGATGCTCTGCTGGGCACATCCTGTGTGGAAGCCTAAATGCAGAGAGCATGAGGTGTGCAAAGCCAGCTTCTCTAGGCAGTCACACGGGGCTGATTCCCAGCTGGAGAGAGAATTTGAATAGCTTATTTGAAAGACATATCATATTTTCTCCATGGGATATTGAGGGGGGGCTTATTCCAAGTGTCTTTTCCCCAGATTCCTCTTTACGCTGCCAGTGGGTTTTCATTTTTCTTTGAGAAGATATTTTATAGAACCTGTTTGAAAACTGCTTTCTGCAGGATATAAAGGGGGGAAAACATGTTTGTGTCTCTTAGTGGTTAGAAAAGAACTTTGTGGAAATGGCAATGCTGGGTTTTTCTTTTTCATTTCCGTAGCCTTTTGGCCGTGGAGCGATGCGGGAGTGTTTCAGAACGTAAGTATCTGCTGACTTTATCTTCCTTGGCCTCCATGCAGTATTTTCTTCTGTGGTGACTGGAATTTCACTTTGGTGTGGTGGAAATTTTGTAAAGCTCTCGAGTTCATGTGAGCTCTCTTGGAGGCAAAATACTCATAAAAGTACAGAAACAGTTACCTTCTTTCTGTGTTCCTGGTGTGCTAAAATATCTGAAAATCTGATATGTGGCCATAGGTGTGTGCAGCCTAGAGACCAACTTGAGACCTATAGTTGGGCAGAGAAAAGGAGAAAAATATTTGGATGGTGTAGACTGAATTTGGAAAGCCTCCATCAGTGAAGAATGTTATCCTCCTAGAGTTTACTTTGGATTACACCTATCGGAGTAATCCTATTCTGAGTAAAGCACAACTTTAACAGCTGTGCTTTCCAGAAGGGTAAAGTGTGGGGGAAGACAGAGGAGGAACTTTTATTTCCTTGGAGAGTCTTAGCAATTGTTGTGGGCATCAGCATCCAGTTTGTGCTAGAAGAATATCTCACCCTTTCCAGGCTCTGGCAAAAAAATGTTTTCTGGAAAATGTACATGTGTGTGTTTAAGAACATTTCCCCTTCTTTCCAGCTGTGGAATCCAGAGAAATTGCATTTCATATCTGGTTTTGCTTCTGGAAAGATAGATAATCCTGAATGACAGAAACATTGGTATAGTTTCAATATCAGTTCATGCTGGTGGTTGTGTTCCTGCAAAGCCACAGAGATACAGTGGTGAATGAAGCCTGGGAAGTAACAACTCTGAGCCTGCTGAGGTTGCTGCTGACATTGCTTTTAGCTCTCGTTATTTTCCAAATTCCCCATTACACAATATTTTGAGAAATACCATAAACAGAAATTTGTTAGCAGCTTTGCTTTAACCTCTTATACAAAGAAAGCATAACTTGTATGTCAGCTTCCCACTGCTGGATTTTCCAGAAGTCTCAGTGGTGCACTGATAAATCCCATCTGGAACTCTGTCTTCTAGGTTTTTGTAATTCTGCAAGTCTTCAGTTATGACAGTGACAGCATTAGCTGCATGTGGCTCCATGAACTTCAGAGGATACTGGATTTAGAAGAACATCAGCTACCTTGTTTTATAGAGAGGAATATGTTCCTTCAAGAGCTGTGGAGGTTCAGATCCTGGCTGAAATTCTGATCTCACTTCCTTGTTCCTTCTTTCCAAGGCCTCTGTTCCAGCAGCTGTCTGACCATCCCTGCAGGAGCACAGACAATCTAAAGATGCTTTGCCTGTAGAGTGTCCCCTGTACCAAGACCTCTGCACCAAGGTCTTGGGAGGGAGAGAGGAAAGGAAGGAAGGGAAAGGGTTGAGAGTTTGAGTGCTGCCATTAATTAAGGTACCTGCTTAATGCACTTGTCAGCCAGCAGATCCACTGTTAGTTTTCCCATGCTCCACACCACCCTCTCCTTGCTTTTGAGGGATCTGTGGATTAAAGATTTGCACATCAATGAAAGGTAAAAGTTACATCAGAAAAAGCAGGTGCAGTTTTCCTTCTGGGAGCATGGGGGTAATCACTGCTGTGTGTTAAGAACACGGCAATTTGCTTTTATTCCAGGAGAGGTTTCTCTCAGTTCATGTTTGAAATGCTACTGCCTGGTAATTTATGCAGAAAATAATTGTTGACATTAGAACACGGTGTTGAGGTGGCAGCAACCCTTCATACTCTTGGTTTGAGGGGAAGGGATTGAGAAAAGGAGGAAGTCCAGAGTAGAACTAGCTGTAGCCAAACCAAACAGTTTGGCATGTCCCAGCCATTCCCATGGAACATTTAATTTTCCCTTGTGCCTACCTCTGCTTCATGTTTCAGCCAGAATATCTGGTAAATGATCGAGGGTAATGCTGATCTTGAGGCCTGGCTCTGTCCATGCAGGCAAAGAAATGACAGAGATTGAAGTAAATTTTTTGGGTTTCCTTTCACCACCAATTTCTGTTTCAGGAAAAAGCTGTCCAACTTCTTACACACACAGAACTGGAAAGGTGCCTATAACTATGTTGCCAAGCAATACATAGAGAGTGTGAGCAGGGATGTGTATTTTGAGGATGTCCGACTGCAGATGGAAGCAAAGCTCTGGGGAGAAGAGTACAACCGGCACAAGCCACCGAAACAGGTACTTTCAAAGTGCTGAGCAAAAATGCAGCCTTGCTCTCCTACAGGATTAGTTTTCAACTGAATTTAGAAGGAATTACTTGTTCACATTCCATTAAATTTAAAAGCCCTTTAACTTCTCTTGCCCTCCTGTGTTTTCCATTAAATGATAGTTTATTTTGAATGAAGTAAATGCAGAAATTGCTTTACATTTCCAGAATTAGGGGCTGTGTGTTTGTGAATGTCTCACTGTTCTCAGCTGTTGACTGGAGACCAAGATAAAATGGTGTTTGTATTGCTCTTTGAGATGTGTGCCCAGCTGCTTTTGAGATAACCAGAGATGTCACAGAATTTATTGCCAGCAGCAGTCTCAGCAAGCACTTAACTGTTAGTGCTCCAGGAAGGTAGATGCTTAAATCTTGTAGACCTACCCAAAAACGTAACTAGCATTGATTTTTAAGAAGAACTGGAAACCTGCTGGAAGTCTTAACAATTTTAATAGCCAAAATGAGTGCTTTTGAGTATGTGGGGTAGGTGCACTGCCTCCCATGGGAGGGTTAGTTAATAACTACCTGTCTCACAACAGCGAGGTGAGGTATAGAGTGAAGTGCACAGAGAGGAGTCTGGAAATCTAGAAATTCTAAATGCCACATGGAGGAAAAGAAGTGAAAGAGTTGTGATAGTTTGTCCTTTAGGAATGTGTCTGGAACAGAGGGAGGAAGTAGGGCAGGATACAGAGATACCCAAGTGGTAGATACCCTCAGTCCTTCTCTGGAAAGGCGTTTCTTCAAGTTGTGCTGTAGTGACTCTGTGATTTCCTCTCTGGTACAGACTCTTTGCAGTGCACTCTTAGGGTACCCACAAAATAAAATAGAAAGCCAGCACTTGCTAAGAATTTTTCAGAGGGATTTGTTGCAGGAGCGAGCTGTTTTGTAGTGTCTGCTTTTAATTTGTGGAATTCCTCCAGTAGCCCAAGAAGAATGTGACTCTTCCCCCACTCCCTTGTTAAACAGACAGATCTTTGGAATTGTTCAGCTTCTTGTGTTGGGAAGGTTTTCACAGCTGGAGGATTCACACACACTTTGATCTGAAGACAGTATTCCGTTAGTCATTGTTTATCTTCTTTTCTTCCCCAGGTGGATATAGTACAGACCTGTATTATTGAAATGAAGAATAGACCTGGAAAGCCTCTCTTTCATCTGGAACATTACATTGAGGGCAAATACATCAAATACAACTCCAATTCTGGATTTGTGCGGGACGACAACATCCGTCTCACTCCGCAAGTGAGGCTTTGTTTAGTGCTTTCCATAAAGTCTGCTGCAGGGAATTTCTTGGCTCTATCCAGAGGTCTTGCATTACTGCCAAGAAAGGAAACTGTAGGCTCTCCAGTACAATGCCAAATTAATTTCTCTATTTGCAGTTTGTTGGCCCCTTCCTTGGGGCCTGCTCTTTCAAGCACTGGGTGCTGCTTTGTTGTGTTTCAGTGTCTGTTGGTTTTAGTTGAGTTGAACAGGGTTAATAGTCTTTAGATACTTTAAGCCCTTTGACTTTAATTATAACTGCAGGCATTGAAATATTTCAAGCTTTTTTCAAATTAAGGCAGAGAGAGAGATCTCTCGTGTATTATGTACTGAACAGGTTTTTTGGTGCCTCACATAATGTACAAAAGGAGGTGGCAGATATCCAACTCATGTAAATAACAAATCTAGGCCATTTGCACATAAAAAGGTGGTTTTTTTCAGCTACAACTTCTGAAGAGCTGAATCTGAGATTGCATGTAGAAATACAAGTACAGATTTCAAGTGATTCTTGGATCTTGTAAAAGAACTTTAAAATACTATTGAAAAATGCAAAGTGGTCAGTGTAGCAAAGGAATGTTGTACTGGGCCTCGAGAGTTTTGTTCATTATATTTTTTTCCCCACTCTTTTTAAGGTATTTGTCATGATGCTTAATGTAAGCAGAGAATTTATGTTCTGGGCTGTCTGAATCAGTGCTGTGCTTTTACAGATTGGGAACAAAATGTTCCATGGTACTTGCTGCCGTTAAAATGTTTGTCTGTCACCACCAGTTACTTCCCCCAGGCCTGGCAGCACTTCTTTGGAGGCCTTCCCAGAAGATTCCTAATACCTCAGCTTTATGCTGAAGAGAAGGGCTTTTTTACCTGATTCTTGAAATGTGTTTTTTGAAGAAGAGTACAAGTGTACACTTCATTATCTGATGCAAAAATGTAGAGACAGAGCAGCTCTTCAGGGGGACCTCCCAGAAGCGAAGGAGAATTTGTGGCATGCTCATTTTTTTTGAAATGTGGCTGATGTTTGCTTATTGGCAGAAGGAAGCACGGTCCCAGAGATGCAGAGCTTGCAGATCCACAGGCACAGCCAGAATGTTTATACAGAAGTTATTCTGCACTGGCTTCAGAGACCACTGTTGTTCCCTTTAACAGCCAGCTCCTCAGTCCTGAAGGTGAAGACTGTAGTGGGAAACAATTTCTAGTACAGGAAGGAGGAACAAAGCAATCTCCTCTCCCTTACCTGTGTCCACTGCTGTTTTTCTCCCTGCCTCTTTTAGCCCACCTCCTAGATGGAGCAGGTTGGAGAGACAAACCACTATGTGCTTTTAGCCTCTTGCTGCTTTCATCATGGTGTTTATACCAGTTACATTTCATTGCCAGGGTTATCAGACTTCCCATTTATAAAGGTGAATATCTGTTGCTGTTTTCACTAGATCAAGGAAGAGTGTTCTCAGACATCTTCTATGGTTCTTTCCAGGCCTTCAGTCACTTCACCTTTGAGCGCTCAGGACACCAACTCATTGTTGTTGATATCCAGGGAGTTGGAGATCTTTACACGGACCCTCAGATCCATACAGAGAATGGTACAGACTTTGGAGATGGCAACCTAGGTAAAATCAGCGATCTGTTTGACATGCTATGGATGCTTGGTTTCTGTTCCCAGCTCTCTGCTGAGTAGGCACTGCAGGGCTGGGTCAGCTGGCACATTTCTGAAGAAGTTCTATTGTGAGGAGTCCCTGAACAGGGCAGCTGTCACGCAAGGGCACATTTAAAATGAGAGCTGATCTTGGCTCGTGTCTCCTGGCCTGCTCTGAAATAAGTAATGAAATTAAGTAGCTTCCTGCAATGTGAGAGCAATAATCATGGCCTTTAATTTCCTTGCCACATTGCAGGAATGGATACAGCTGAATGTGGAGAGGTAAGCACTGCATATTTTTAAATCTGCAAGTGTCTATACATGAAGCTGTTCATAGGACAGAGCAAGCTTTGTAAGCAGGATCAGATTTAGGCATGTTTCTCAGTGATACAGCCAGTTTAGTTTTTTATTGTATCTTCTGCATATATAGCTTTTGAAGATTTTTGAGACTTCCTTTAACTCTTGTGCAGAGAGAGTGGAAAGCTTTTACAGGTGTTGAAATAAAGTGGAGGTGGGTTGAGCTGTATGTGCTCAAAGCATTTTTTTCTTTCTTTCTCTTGACTTTTTAGAAAAAGCTTTGAGACTTCTGGCTTTTAATAAGTGAACTGTAATATAAAATTCAGGTAAACCCTTTCTTCACTTTTTTTAATGCCCTAGGTGTTCGAGGTATGGCCTTGTTCTTTCATTCTCATTTCTGCAACAAGATCTGCAAGAGCATGGGACTTGCACCATTTGATCTTTCATCCAAAGAGAAAAATGCCTTGGATTATAATAAAAAATTGCTTGTAAGTGCTTGAAGGAAAAAAAAAAAGTGTAACTAAGCAGTACAGCTAGTTCATCCTCACTTCAAAAGCCCTGTAAATAAAACTGAAATAACGCTGTTTACATGGAAAATAAAAAGCACCTAATTGCTAATGTTGCAGTTTAAATACAGCAGTTTAGAGCGGACTTGTTCATACTTGTCTCTGAATTAATGCTGTAGCTGCAATTGAAAGGAAACCTTATAACATGGTGTATATTTAGGACCACGTAGGTCTTTGAATGCTGAAATCATTGATAAGTTTTGTATCTCACAAGCCTGCTTGTCTTTAACTAATCTCAGTTTCAGCTGATTTTAGTGGGAATGGGACTTGATGAAACGCTTTGAATGAAATTCAGTCCTAAACAGAACTCTCTCTGACTGTAAAAGTGCCAGGACTTGATATTTTGTTGGGACGTAGAACTTCTCAAAGCAAATTCTTCTGTGTACATTGGTGTATTTGTACCTCCTCTTCGATAGAGGACTCCTGATAAACATCCGTGTTGGCTTATGTGGCACAATTAGAATACACAGAAGGGTTATTCACGGGACTTTGTTGTTGATTTGCCAAGGAATCTGCTCAGACCATCCTCCGTGGCACCGAGGAGAAGTGCGGCAGCAGCCGGGTGAGGACGGTGTCCGGCAGTCGGCCCCCTCTGCTCTTCCGCCTCTCCGAGAACTCGGGGGATGAAAGCATGAGCGACGTGGCCTTTGACTCCCTGCCCTGCTCCCCTTCCTCAGCAACCCCTCACAGCCACAGGGTGGACATGCTTAGTGAGTGAGCCTCATACATCACCTCTGGGGGGTTCCTGAACGTTGGACAGGGCCTTAGTCGATTTTAAACCCAACAGCATATTGATTTAATCCAGAATACTTGTTTCTAGTGTTCTTCTTTGGGCAGAAATAAAACTAAAGGACTTCTTTGTAGATAATTAATGCATGGATGCTTCTGTGAAAAAACAGCAGTAAAATGATGATGTCTAGAGCTTTCTCCTCAAGCATGTTGTCCTTACAATAAGAAGCAAATATTTTTCTTCCTAGATTGGCCTGTGTTCAATGAAGTAGATAACTTGGTTCACAAAGACTATGATCAGCTTGATAACCAAAGGGTGAGTGTCTTTTCAACAGGAAATGAGGTTGCAGTTCCCTAATGAATGTGTCTTTAAAGGACTTCTCAAAAGCTTTGCGCAGTAAAAGCACATAAAGGTGCTCTGCCTGCTTTCATTGTTGCAGCTCATGTTGCCTTCATGCATTTGCTGTTTCTAGTAAAGGAAGAACTTTTATTTTAAAATAGTATTCATTATTCTTTTTCCACCAGAAATTTATTTTCATCTGATGTATTTTAACAGGTAATTAAAGTGTATGTCTGTTGCCCTGCCTGCATGTTATGTCTTGGGCACTTGTGCCAACTGTTGTGGTATGAAAACTAAGCAGAAACCCTATGGATTAGGCCTCTGCAAATCCTGTGGGATGTTGCAGAACCTCACCTGAGGAGATGCAAGAAGTTCGCAATGGACTTTTTCCAGTGCTGGACCTTAATACCAGTTACTAGATTTTTTAACTGAATACTGAAAACTGTATCTAGTGGACTCTTGACTTGATAAAATATGCGAGTCTTTGATTTTTTTTTAAATGTATTTATTTTTATATATATATGTAAGAGAGAAGACAATCTTAGACAGTACCTTCTGTATCGTTAAGTCTTGTTCTGTCTGTCAGAGGTAGCACAACATTACAATCATTTTCATCCTGTATTATCATCCAGTATTTTTCACTGAACCAGCAAAAGGTTTGCTCTGTGGGAAATGTCAAGATGAGATCCTTACAAAGGATCGTGCTAATGCTGTTCTGTTCTTGTGTTCTGTAGGATTTTGAAAATGGTGGAGACAGTGGATACCCCAGTGAAAAGAGAAGTGAGATGGAAGATCTGGATCACAGAGAAAGGGTGAGAACCTGACTCTGGGTTTAGCAGAGTTGGGCCTGTTCATACTCGAACTGTTTTCATAGAAGAATCTTATTTTTTATCCCTCTTGATCTAGGCTTTGTAAACAAAGGAACAGACAAATTTCCGTGTGTTGCAAAATTACTTATTCATCTTGGGAATGACAGTTTTACAGGAAAAAGATGATTTGTAATGAGGAGCTTAATTTCAAACATCGTATTTGATTACATATTGTTGTGGGGGTTTTATTATTCTGTATTGCATTTGGAAAATGTAGCCAGCTTCTTGTCCTGTGGAATCCATGAATATGATCTGCTTTCAGGCTCTTACCCTGTCTACTTTGTATGGCTTGAATATCACAGAACTTAATGTTGTTATCAGTTAATAACGTGCGACTTTAGAATCCCTGTGGGTAAGCTGGTTACTCCTTTAAAATATAAACTTTTAAATAAATGCTTTTTGACCTGAAGATCTTCACAAGATATTTAATTAGAAGACAGGAAAGAGAATACTGCTTCCAAAGATACCAGTCCTTTTGTCACCTGTGAAGGTATTTGTCATGGCATCTCCAGCTCACAGGATTAAAGCCTGTGTGTGCCATGTTCTTTACCATTTTGGTATGCTTCTTATTACATTGTGATATCCCTGAAAGAAAAGGATCCAGTGGAATCGATTTTGGTCACAGTCAGTATTAATTCTGCTGGATAGGAATAGTCTAGAGGGATAACTGGCACACAGCAGTTGCTGCAAATTAAATGATGTAAATCTTTACATTAACGTAGGGCCATTCAAACAACATCCGGAGACAGGAGTCTGATGAAGACAGTTTGGGAAGCTCTGCAAGGGTAAATAAAGCAGAAATGTTCATAGACTCAGTCTGCTGCTCTGCTTGTCCTCTGTTCCATTCATCTAACCACATCACTAAATCAGATTCATTTTCCCTCCCTTTTCAGCTACAGAATATGTTTATTAATATCAGTTTATCACTCTGTATTGTTTCCTTTTTTGTTTTGTCTTTACTTTCCAGTTAAAGAAGTACTGTTAAAGAAACTGTCACCTCTGTAACTGATCCCTGACATAAATTAGTGATTATGCATGGGTTTCTCACTTAAAAATAATAATTACAGTTCTTTGGATTTTTTTCCTGTCTGACTAGATTATAATTCCTTTCTGTACTTCATTTTTGGAATTGCATCCTATATGTGGTTGTATGATTTCTTGAAAACATGCAGTGTTTGAAATAGGTGACAGTAGCTGTGTCCACTGTGTATCTCACTGAGCTAGGGAAGACCAGGCCTTCTCGTATGTTTTTACAAAATATAACTTCTGTGGTAGTTGGTCTGTGGCTGTAAACTTAAACAAATAACTACTCTGCAAGGAAAGAAAAAACAGCTTTGACAACAATAATTTATTTAGATACACTTTTCAGAATTTCCTTGTAAATATTATATATTGCTGTTTTAGGAAATTGAAACAGCTTTAACAGAGTGGGGTTCTTTGCCAGTAACCTTCCCTGTTGTGTTCCCCTGTGTACCTCCAAAGACTTTCATTTTGATAGGATTGTTTTCAGCTACTGTTTCCCACCCACCAGTTGTGTTGAAAAATTTATTGTCATTTGTGTTGCACCTCCTGAGAAACACCAATGCATGTATCTGCCTGTCATCTTCTGCATTGTTACTTCTCATTTTTCTAGAGCTCTGGAATGCAAGCAGCATTTAAAATGTTGTGAACTGAAATTCTGATCATAAATGTGTGGATTTAATTTTTTTGTGCATGGATAACAGTATGTGCAATGTGACTATTCAGTTGCTTATTTGTATAAGTAACTTTTTTTCTGATTCAGAACTTAAAGAGGATTCTTTGCTTCATTGCAAAGTGATGATGTTTGGATTAGAAAAAGAGGGCTTTACTCTGTTTCTTCAGTGATGAATAATAACCCTTTATTCAGCTACTAACATGACTTTTGAAAGTCATGTCTCAAATTACAGTATTTACTAAGAAGTAGCAATATTAATGGAGGCTTTGATTTCTGGATGGCAATCTATATATATGAAAATTTTAATTTTGCATATAAATAATAGTTTATTTCATATTTCAGATCAGTGTGGAGAAATGGAATTTGTACAACTCTTCCAGAGTTCATGTCCACAGACCATCCTGTGTTGCCCAAGAAATTCAGAGGCTCAATGCACTAGAACTTGAAAAGAAAATTGGGAAGTCAGTCCTTGGAAAGGTAGGATGGGTCTAGTAATCCTCTTTTTTTCCAACTGGAAAGAAATGTATTTATTACTTACATAGAGATGTTGCCCCGCATGAGTTTATTTGTGCAAGTGAAAATAAACACATCCATAGCTTTGTGTCCTCTAACCATACTGTATGAAGGACATCTTAGCTCAGGAACCCATGAGTTTCATCTGCTTTTGGACTTGCAGCATCTGGGCTCCTTTGGGAAGGACCCTGCTGTTGGTTAGTCTGCCTTTCCAGAGGCATCATACAGGGAAGTTACAGTGGGATAATTATGGTGTGCCTGACCCACATACCTTGCACATAGGCAAGGCTGGGCTCCTGAAAAGTGATAGCATGGACCAACTCTTTTTACTCCAGAGTATTCAAGATAATGCAAATGTGAATTAAGTTTTGGTTTATGTATGGGCTTAAGCCCACACTTAAAACACGGTGTAGGTCTTCCTGAACATCCTGAGAGCCTTAAGTATTCTCAAAACTCTTGGTTTGTGAAGAAGCCAATTTTTCCCTTGGGGAGGGAAGTCGAAAAGCCCCTCAAAATCCCATGGCATGTTTGGAATGAAATCCTGCCCCCCACTGATAATGAAGGCTTCAGTGGTGTGAGGATTTTACCCCTGATAGCCTTCATTTTCTGTGCCTCAGATTAATTCCTCCCCTGGGAGGGCCCTTGCCATGCACTGAAGTCTGTGCCCCAGGGTCACTGCTGTTTGCCTTGCTGGCTGCAGTGCCAGGCAGTTGCAGGCTGGGTGCCTTTAACTGTGATTCCCTCCTAGAGCTCTCCAAGGTCCCAGCAGATGTGCCAGGGCATGCCCCTAAGACCTGGTAGAGAATGGACAGAAGGCTTTGGAAGGATCAGATCCATATGAAATCCTTGTGCCTCTTCCCTGTGCAATGGTGCTCCAGGTTCACTTGGCCATGGTTCGCTACCACGAAGCCGGGCGTTTCTGCGGGAAGGACAAGGAGTGGGATCAGGAGTCGGCCCTGTTTCACCTGGAACATGCTGCAGACTGTGGGGAGCTGGAAGCCATCGTTGGGTTAGGACTCATGTGCTTTCAGCTGCCACATCACATTCTTTCTGAGGTCACTGTGGAGGTAAACACATCAAAGAAAATGCCAAAATGCAGATTAATGGTGCATTGTAAAAATAAGAAGAGCAGGAAGTAGAGAGAAAACAGTCACCATAGTTAGGTGTTCTGTAGCCCCTCAGAGAAAATAGATGACTTTGTAATTAAGGACTTGGACAAAACAGCAAAAAGTGCTGCCTCTTTCTGGTTTTGCCAGGAAATTTCTGCATGCCTTTGGGAAGTTTCTGAAGTCATCTTCACTGTTCAGCTGCTTTGTTTCTTGTGGCTGTGCCTGTTTCTGTTTCTCAGACACACTAAACACTTCCAGCCATTACTGACATGGAGAAACTGCATTTAGTGTTAGAGGGAGGAAGGGATAGTTTTGCTTAGAAACATGCATTTGAAAGGTTTTATTTGTTTTACCAGGACACAAAGGAGAACAGAAATAAAGGATTTAATTACTTACTGAGAGCAGCAGAAGCTGGAGACCGGCCTTCCATGATTCTGATAGCAAGAGCATATGATACAGGTGTAAATCTTGCTGCAGACAGGTATGTTACTTTTAATTAAGGATGATTTTAAGTTTTAAGATGTTTAAAAATGCTATTACCTCAGTAAGTCTCTCTTAATTTTGAGTTATTTCTTTTTTAGCGTTTTATTTGAGTTTTTAAAAGTGGACAAATATTAACTTCTTTAAGTACCAAATATAACAGGTGATGATAGTGGTTTTTCTAGTTCTGTATTTTAGCATGTCCTTGTTATTTACATGAGTTTTCTGTTTTGCACAACAGTGAAACTTTAAATTTCACCTTTGCCAAACAACATTATGCTTTTAATTGAAGTGCACTGAGCATTCTCAATATGAAAATCACTATTTTGAAGTATTTATGAAACAAGACTCTCTACAAATTCAGATTTTTTTCTAAATCAGTTGTCTTCACAAATATAAATGCCACACCAAAACCACACAACTGGTAATGAAGCTCAGATTCTGGAGTTCAGCAAAACACTTCAGTCTGGTACTTTCTCCTCTCTAATTCCTGCATAAAGTGACCCCAGCCTCATTTTGCTGTAGTGACCTGATGCTGCAGTGCAGTTAGTGAGCCTCCATGAGAACGTTTGCTTTCTTGGGAGCATCAAAGCTCTGAGAAGTCAGTGCAAAATTGGATTCTGAATCTCCAGTGCAAAGTACATTTGTTGCCTAAGGGAACCATCTTCAAAAATTGTGTTTAACTGCAGAGCCCAGGACTGGAAGGAGGCCCTGCACTGGTACAACGCTGCGCTGAACATGACTGACTACGATGAGGGAGGGGAGTATGATGGCACTCAGGATGAGCCCCGCTATCTGCTCCTGGCCAGGGAAGCAGAGATGTTAATGACGGGAGGGTTTCACCTGGATAAGGATCCACAGAGATCAGGTGAGGCCTTGTTTTGTTTCTGTAATCAGTAATCCTGCTTTTCCTTCCCTTTTACCCCAGCATGTACCCCAAAAATAGACTTCCTGCTTTATCTGTTACAAAACATCCAGGGGGTCAGCACCTTTGGATTTGTGGGTGAAGCTGCAATGATGCTGGGTGTAACAAGGCTGGAAACAGTGAAAGAACAGATCTTGGCAAAGACAGGAGTAGTGGGTGGTGCCAGGTCCAATTATGTGACACGCTGAGTCACCACCAGGCAACCTTCACTGCCTTCCAAGTTGCTCTTTTGGGTCACTCCCCTCAGATGCAGGTTGCTGCTTGTATTTTGAGTTACACCCATGACTCCCAGCCCCTGCACGACATCCTCTTACTTGCTGTGTAATCTCCATGTTCGATGTCTGTGTCTTGGAGTCCTCTTGGGGCATCCTACAGGCTGGTCATATTTCCAGTCCTTCACAATACATTGAAGAGCCATCAGCAGCCAGTCATAAACTTTAACCCAGATTCCCAGCTGATGTAACTCTGACACTATTAAAACACACCCACACATCCTGCCCTGCAGTTTGATCTCAATTTCTCCTTTTGTCCTTTATTTGCTTCAAGCTAAAGCAATGTTTTTCCTTTACTCTGTCAACATAACTGATCCTATTTCCTCCTCTAGGTGAGCTTTACACAGAAGCAGCAGAAGCAGCAATGGAAGCCATGAAAGGCAGACTGGCAAATCAGTACTACCAAAAAGCAGAAGAGGCTTGGGCGATGATGGAAGAATGACACTGAAATTAAGCAGTTCTTGTATATAATTTTTTTATAGACTTGCTGCATTTGCAGCTAAAAAGCTATATTTTTATGTGATGTTACCAGTTCCTTTTTTTGTATTTCAGTTTTCTAAGGTTTTTTGAGGGGAGAAATTCAAATGTAACTATGTAGGGTGCCATAGCATACTTCTGTTAGTGTTTTACAGCTGTAATACAGACACACTTGACCTTTTATACTTTTTTAACTGTTAGAGGGCTTAGTTTTTTTGATCAGAAAAATGAAGCCTTATTGTTTAGGTTTCACATGTCCTGGTTTTTTTCCAGCAAATGATCAATGTGTTTACATTTTTCTTCTCCTCCCCATGCACAGAAAAACATTTTCCTAAATTCTCAGCCTTTATTCATCATTTTTGGTGTAACTCACCAAATTTTCATGAGTGTAAATTTTCAGTTTATGGATGCAACTACTGATATTAATAAGTAGTCCCATTCTATTATGCTGGCATTGTTGGACACTTCTGTTATTCTCAGATGAATTCCAGATGGAATCCTTACAGTTTCGGGAGGGGTGGGAAAGGTGCTTCAGATTGGCAGTGAGGATGTTCAGGATGGAATGTTTTATTCATCACCAACATTGCATATCACACCATTAGAAAATCCTGATGAGGCGAGGCATCCAGCTACCTCTCTCATTTTCACATTTTGCACCATATAATAGCTTAGTTGTATAAAATTCTATTGATCTTACATTTGTCCAATGATGTACAGTAGCAAGATCTGTAATATATGGGTAATTTGAAGTTATTTTTACAGTGGCATCTCAATTCTCAGTGAAGCTAGATCATCTCACTTAAAAGGAGAATATGCTTTCCACCATTCCCAGAGGGATGTTTGAAAAGGTTAGAAGATGTTAATTTGCCTTTTATATGTACAGAAAACAATTTATATGGTTTAAATATATTTTAAAATGGGAGGACAACTACGTGGTGGTGGTTGAATTATCATTGCATAGAGAGACGTTTCTTCCAAATCTGGTATTTTATTCCGTCTCTGTGGATAGTACAGAAGCTGTTGCTATTCCTTGGCTGTGGTTAACAGTAATTTTGCAGGAGATTTAAGGTGGAAGCTTCTGCTTTCTTGGCCTTACAGTCTCCTGAGGGTGTAAATTGATGTCCATAAGGGGCAGCCCCTGTCAAATGCTGAATAACCGAGAGTGCTCACCACTTCAGCCAAGCTGTTAAAAACATGCTTAAAGCTAAGCAGGCTGTGAGATGGTGCAGTTGAACAGGATTTCTTGCATGCATAGCCCAGTAATATTAATTTCTTGTAAAATGCAGAAACTGCTCAAGGAGCAGAAGTCAGTCCTCCCTTTCCTGTGCAGTGCCAGCCCCTGGGCTCAGGTTGTGCTCCCCGTTTTCTCTTTCTGGCAAGTAGATCTTGAATTACTGTCCAGACAATATCCAAGGATGATGTTAATAACAACTGCCACTGTCTGAAAGATCTCCTGCTGGTTAAGGGCGTGAGATAACAAGATTTGGACCCTTTCAAGGAGAGAAGGGAGCTATCTTTGGATGTTATGCTTCTGGGTGGGTGCTGTAACCACCAGGCAGTTGTAGCCATGAGTAGTCTTGCAACACATGGCAACATCTTGCTGTACATTGCAGGGCTCATGGGACAGTAGTGCCCATGGCCTTTTTAGTTTGTTTTTGTTTTGAGAGTGAAGGCAAAGCTCTTCACCCACTGATGGAGAAGTATCTAATTTCTAGATCTCAGTTGGTCTTTGGTGGTATTAACCAAGGTACTAAAGCAACAAGATCTTTGGACCTAATATTTTTTGGACCTAAGATGGTGAAAAAGAACCAGTTTGTAGGATTGCAAATCAGATGAATGTTTTAAGTGCCTATCCAGAGTTTTGCTTCAGATACCTAAAGCCTCTTTGGGACATGGCCTTTTTTGCTATTTCAGTTCATAGCATTAAAATTCCAGCTGTGACCTCGAAAGACAGCTGAATAGTCTGTGTTTTGTGCAGAACCAATACAGTGTAGGCACTATAATGAATTCAGACAAAAGGATTTGTTTTCCTCATAAGGTGTTGATGCCAAGTCTTTGAGATTTTCCTTGAGAAGGAAACGTGTGACAACACCACCAACCATGTAGGGAGGAGAGGAGACTAAAAGTGCCCCTCTAAAATGTGTATGTAAAGGATGTAGAGTGTAATTATTGACACATTTTGGTGTAGTTTAATTTGCTAAATTCAGTAGTTGCTAAAGTTGCTGACAGCTCTGTGTAGATCTGGTATGTAAATGTGCACACAACTCAGTGAAAAAATTACTATGATTAAATCTTTGTTTGCAAATACTACTTTTTAGTGATGAAGACTACCTTCTGTCCTAAGATGGTGTCATATGATTTAGCCATACAATAAATGGGAGTGTCAATAATATGAAAATTTTTTATGTTTACAGAAATAACTGTATTCTGTGACATTTTTGAAGGGAAAAACTATATATTTGACAGACTTTTGCAGTGATATTGCTACATGCTGTATTTTTAATCTATTCACAATGAATAAAAATCTGTATTTGTACAAAATGTGAAAATAAATCTGAGGTTCAGCCTCCCAGAACTTACCCGGGTTTAGTGTTTCCAGATGTCAGTGGGAATATTGCTTGGGTAAGGACAGTGAGATGGAAGCCTTTGTGTGTCAGACATGCAAACACTGCCTGCCTGCATCACTTAGTCCTCTCATTCACTTTGTCTGGTTTCATTCTGGCTGGTCAATAAAATTGTTCTTTTTGTCACTTTTCTCAGTAGAGTTTTATTTTTTTGCATGTGGGGGTTTGCTTTTGGTTTTTTTTCTTTTATAATTTGCCAAAATTCAATCCTATTATTGCAAGCTTCCAGAAATTCTCTGTGTTGTTTCTATTATTCCATCCCTGATTTTGTTCACTTTCAACCATCCCAGTAACAAACCGGGAGGAAATAAATTAGATGTTGTCAACAAAATCTGTTTTTCTCAAGAAAACTGAAGGGTTGATGTGCTCTTTGATGTTCATTCGATTTCAGACTGTTAAAAATGGAGCTCTTTATGTTGCCTTTTTTTATTGTTTTATTTAGACAGGTAGAACTTATTGTACCTGTGTAGTTTAAACAGTATGAAATTATTCTCTAGCACAGGCACTGTGAAATAGCAGAATCTCCTAACAAAAAAAGCCCCAGCTGGGCCTCTGCAGTGTAGAATCACTAAGAAAAATGGTGAAATTTGGCACTGCTATAGATTTGTAGCCTTTGTAATCTTTAGCTGGAGTGTTTGGCAAGTGTAACAAAGGAAGTGGGAATAGCTTCTTCAAAAACCATGGAGACAGCCAACACTTAGAGCTTATACAGTGTAAATAAGAATATTGCCTGTTCCTTAATTACTGGTCTGGGGGACTGATTTGAATCTCGTTCTCTTCCCCACAGGTAGAATTCCACTCAGAGTAGAAAGACTGCTGACAGACACAGGTGTAGTTTAGATGAGCCAAAGCAGGACTTCTCATCTGAATATGGAAAGGCAGAATTTCATTTGAACTTCAGGTTGAATTCAGGGCCAGCGCTGCCGGTGGTGAGTCAGGCTGTTCTCAGGTTTATGTTCAGGGACATCTCTCATGTGCCTCCCTGGACCTGACCCCTTACTGGGGAAGCTCCTGGGTTTGTAACCATCGGGCCTGATCCTTAGTCTGAACGTGTTTGATACAAGTGTTGGGTCCTTGCTGTTCTCTGGCCAACTCATGTGCCAGGAAAACAGTACAATGGGACTGGTAGCTTGCGGTGTAGTTTGAGTTCTTCTGGAAGTTCACTCTTTCATAATGTAAAATGAAAAAACTGGTGACCCAACTGCCGCCCCCAGCCTGTGCTGTTGTCCCCTGTAAGTGTCACACATGGCTGATGTGAGTAATATTGGGTACACAGGCTTCCTTCAGTGCTCAGGGTAAAGGTCTCTGTGGCCAGGCACCCAAACATTCCAGGGACAGAGGCTGTGCCCAGCTGTGACAGGGCAGAAAAGTACTTCTCAGGGAGGGTGTTGGTCCATCGCTGCCTGGGCAACACCACCTGTGGGGCCGAGTAGCCCATGCAATAAGGAACAGTTTGTGATGAGTGTTCCATGCAGTCACACACACAAGACACACTCATGCCTGGAGACTGCTAAATCAGACTCCCTACAATTTTCTGCCTAAGCAGATTACAGTTGATTTGCTGTGTGAAGCCAATTCAGGTCTGCTTGTCTTCCCTCCTCCCTGAACCTCTCCTGTGTCTCTGCAAAGCCATGGCCGTGGGAGGAGCGTCAGCTCCCTCTGTTCCCAAAAAAAGCCCGCACTGAACCGGGGGTGTGAAAGTGCAGCAGCGCCGGAGGAGGAGGAGCCCATTCATGCTTACACGTGTGCGCTGTTATTCCTCGGTACGTGTAGGCAGTGAATGAAATTTTTACCGAGACTCTGCAAAGCTGCAGCCTCTCACGGTGAGGATGGTGAGACACTGGTACAGGTTGCCTAGAGGAGTGGTGAATGTAATCCCTGCAAACGTTCAAGGCCAGGTTGGATGGGGTTCTGAGCAACCTGATCTAGTTGAACATGTCCCTGCTCATTGCAGGGAGTTGGACTAGCAAGCCTTTAAAGGGCATTTCCAACCCCCCCCCACCATTCTGCGATTCCACGTTCAGCAGCTCCCTGGCAAGAGAGTGCCGGGTGCTGCAGGGACAGGCTGTGGGAGGTGCCAGGGGAAAGGGTTGAATGAGGCTGTCAGCAGAACTCCAGCAGGTTTATTTTCTCCATCCCGTTTAAACCAACTACCACAACTACACAAATAAATCAAGCTGCGTAAAAGCTTTGTGGCCTTACCCTAGAGAAGTTGGAATTTTTCTCCAAATAGAACCCTTCAGTTTCAATTAACTGGTGAAGATAACAGTAATTCCTGAAGAAAACTTACCAGACTTTAAAGCAAAATATGGTCAGAGACTCTCAGAGGCACGTTCATGGGGCTGCTGATGCTACTACCCCTTTGCACAGAAGTGTCCTGGCTCCTGCTGCTGCTGCAGCCTTCCTGTGCTGCGAGCAAAAAACCGCATACCCCAGCCATAAAGCCTGCCGACCTTTGGCTTTGCACACTCAGTGGGCCGTAGCTTTGCAACAGAAAATTAAAACTTTAGAATTGTTTTTAGGCTTTCGGGGTGGGTGTGTGCCGGGGCGATGCCCCGCGTACCGCGGAGGTGACTGTGCTGCGCCGTGGCATCCACGTGGCAGCGGGGGCGGCGCGGAGGGCGCGGGCACGGCTCGGGCACTGTCCCCACGGCGCGTCCCCGGGGCGCTGCTCGTCCCTGGCTGCACAGCACCGCTGCACGTGCACCGGCTTGGAGACAGGGGTTGAACAGAACCCCGCAGCGGTTTATTTCTCAGGTGGAAGGGGGGGTGTGGGGAGAGCGCTTGATGGGACGGGGGGATGCAGAGGGCAGGACGTGGCTGCTGCTGGAAGGGGAAGGGCAAAGGCAGATCTAAAGTAAAAGAGCCGACGCGAAATGCGGTGTCAGGGCGGTAGCGTGGCCGAGCGGTCTAAGGCGCTGGATTAAGGCTCCAGTCTCTTCGGGGGCGTGGGTTCGAATCCCACCGCTGCCA